ACCGTCCCAATGGATCACACTCCTTCCCGTTCACACTCGCCCTACACCGTCCCAATGGATCACACTCCTTCCCGTTCACACTCGCCCTACACTGTCCTTTAGGATTAACCTATTTATGAGAAGATGTGAATTGTTCCAAAGCTGCTGTTCTACCTGTGAGCCCAGGTTGTCCTGGCACAGTGGTGTGGTGCCATCCTTACTGTTTGCTGATTAGTTTAGTACTTTTGGCAGGTTTTTGTATTCCAATTCCACAATATTTATATCCAGCAGAGATGGCTGTGGTCCCGGCACTGACCATTGGGAAACTGTTTCCCAGTCTCTCTTTTGTAAAATGTCCACAGTTTGCTGCTTCTTGCCCTGAAGGCAGTAGTTTAACCAGTCTGACCCCAGTCCCTCCTTTCTCACAAGGATTTATTTTGTTCACCAGCTTTTAACTGTGAGGCTTTCTTACAATCCTCTGACCCCACAGCCTGCGAAAACCATGTCTTCATCAAAATATTCAATTCAGAAAAGCATGCTGCCCATTACAAATCCACATGGGTTCTCTTTAATTAACACAAACGTTTCCTAGTGCCTGTTGGCTTTCTTCCCTGATTATTTTTGCTAGAACTTTGCCTCGGATTGACATTGAACCAACTCCCTAATAGGACTGATTTTCTGAAGAAGGGTCTAGGCCCAAAACGTCAGCCTTCCTGCTCCTCTGATACTGCTTGGCCTGCTGTGTTCATCCAGCTCTACACCTTGTTATCTCAGATTCTCCAGCATCTGCAATTCCTACTATCTCTCACTAATAGGACTGTCCTGTGTCCCTTCAGTAAGTCTGTCACGTTTGCCACTCTCTAGCTAATGGCCAGCTGTCCTGTAGCTCATGGAGATTGGAAAGTTATGATAAGCTCTTTGCTGTTGCCTCCTCAATCTCTTTCAGAACCTGGAATGTAAGTCTTCTGGATCAGTGGACAATGCATTCTCATTACACAATACCCCGCCTTTCCAGTATAACCTGCTCTCTCATTATCTCTGCCATTCACACGCTGACTCATAATGTGACTGCCAACTACGTCTCCCTTTATAGTATTCAATTATTATTATTAATGTTATTAATATTCAAGTATTCTAGCCTTGCCCTGCCTCTAAGCATTTATGACTCTTTCTGCTGCTAATTGAGCTTTTTGGGTTATCTTTTATTTTTCTGCTTTCCTGTACTCTGAGGTTGTCTCTTCACTTTCCCTCTTGTGTTGTTTTTTGTTTTTGACCTGATTTCTGCCCAATATGTATCGCACATTCCCTTCCCTTGTTACTAGCTCCTGGATTGTCCACTGAGCCCTAGTTCTGGTTTGTTTTGTATCTGCTTGTTGGAAGGTACCTGCCTGCACCTGTACCATCTCCTCCTTTGTTTTCCTGACAGTCTGTGGTTCCCTTTTACTCCGGATAGGTGTCCTCTTCCACTTCTGACATTCTCCCCTTGCTGATTGTGGCACCAAGGCTGATGGAGTGGAGCCACTGAGCTCCTGTGTGTGCAGTGCTCTGTATTCTGTGCTACCTGTTCATTCCGATGTATCAAATTGCAGTGACCAACTCAAATCCCCTTAAAGCTCCTGTCCCTTGCTGCCTGCAATTTATAATCTCCACACACCCTGCAGTCTTCTCAGAGATAATCATTCCTCTAATTCTGGCTTCTTGTTGTACCTGGTTTTAATTGCCCCAGTTTTGGTGGGTGGTGGGGGCATTAGCTGCCTGGGCCTTAGCTCTGGGATACTCTCCCTGAATCCTGGCAGCTCTCACTGTCTATCCTCACACTTTTCCCATGCCTTTTGCCCCCATGTGGGTAGTTTTGATGGAAGCTGTTTGGATGTTTAACCCTGTGAGCGGAGCTTTATGTATTTAATGGCAGCATTTTATTGGTTTATGTGTGTGCCCCGTGTTTATCTCTTTTGCTGTGTTACAGGCCGAGGGATTTGCTTCCCTCTTGTTAAAACCTGTGTGTTTGGGAGTGAGCTGAAAGCTGGAGCACAGGAAGAACCTTCTGCATCTTCCCGAGCAGAGCCGCCAGAACCATCCTTCACCAGACAGACTGTCAAGCTGCTGGCCTGTGTCATCGGACTGCAGGTGATTGGCTGTTGCCCCATTTGCTGCAGTCACCACCATTGCCCCCCACCCCCACCCCCCACAACTGCCTGGAGCTACCAGGCTCACCTTCTGAGCCCACTCCCATTCCCGTCCCCTGCCATTGCCAACCCCTGTGGGGTTTTGGACAGCCTCACTGCTCAGTTACACTGATACAGGTGGCGCATGTACATTCACTGTGCACCTGAAGGAGGCCATTGTGCCTGTAATGTCCGTGCGTGCTCTTCCTGCAGGGTCGTTGACACATTTCCCTTCATTCCCCATGACATTGTAGCTTTCTCTTCTTCAAGAATTTCACCACATCCCTGTTGGAAGTTCTGACTGAATTTGTTTTTACTGCACGAGAACTCATTCAGTAAAATTACTATCTCCTTGTGTCCTCTCTGCTGGTTTTCCCAGTCACCTTCAAACCCTATGACTACTGAATCCTCCTGCCACTGGAAACCATCTCTGTCTCATTGACACGATCAAATTGGTTTGTGTGTTAGTTGTAATGTCTCACAGTCAGCAAATTTGTAAGTATGAGACACTTGGTTGATCTATGTCTTTGTGAGAGATGATTTTGGGAAGGGGCTGGGCTTGTGTGCATGTGGACCCAGAGCCTATACAGCAAGAGCATCTGATTGTCACAGCCCCTGGCTCCTAACACCAAGGGAGTAGCTGGGAAGGCAGTAGCATCATGGTAATGTCAGCGGACTGGAAATCGATTGGAGCAGGATCATGCTGTGGGGAGTAAGGGTTCAAATCCAAACACAGGAGCTGATGGAATTTAAATTGAATTAAAATTGAAAGCTAGATTCGTTGATGGCAACCATTGGTTGTCGTAAAAGCCCATGATTCCTGCCAGATAGGGAAAACAGTCTGGCACACTGGGATCCACAGCAAAGTGGGTGACTGTTCAATACTGTCTGAAATGGCCAAACCAGCCACTCAGTTCAAGGGCACTCAGCAATGGGCAACAAATGCTGGTCTTATTAGTGATACCCACATCCCATCGCAGATGGTAAAGGTCACAGGGGTCCATTTACAGAGCTTAACACTGAGCCCCCCAGTAGATCTGTCCTCTGAAAAGTGATAAGAATAATGTGCGGAGAGAGTCTGTAATCCACAGTCAACCCACTGTGACCTCTGCCTTGTTTTGATGTTTCCCCCATTCAGTGATCAATTATGTCTTCTCCAGGCTTCCTACCTCACCTGGGGGGTCGTCCAGGAACGAGTGATGACCAAGACCTATGGGAAGACAGAGACTGATCCCGGGGTGAAGTTCCGTGACTCGCAGTTCCTGGTTTTTATGAATCGGATCCTGGCTGTCCTGGTTGCTGGTTTATGCTGTGCCCTCAGCAAGCAGCCCCGCCACGGAGCTCCCATGTACAAATACTCCTTCGCTTCCATCTCCAACATTCTCAGCAGCTGGTGCCAGTATGAAGCCTTGAAGTACATCAGCTTTCCTACCCAGGTGCTGGCGAAAGCGTCCAAGGTTATTCCCGTCATGTTGATGGGTAAGATTGTGTCACGTAAGAGTTACGAATACTGGGAGTACCTAACAGCCATTCTCATTTCTGCTGGGGTCAGTATGTTCCTGCTTTCAAACTCTCAGAACAAGCATCCATCCACCGTCACCACCTTCTCAGGCATCGTGATCCTCGCAGGTTATATCCTCTTCGATAGCTTCACCTCCAATTGGCAAGACGCTCTCTTCAGGTACAAGATGTCCTCAATCCAGATGATGTTCGGTGTAAATCTCTTCTCCTGCCTGTTCACTGTCGGCTCTCTCCTGGAGCAGGGAGCCTTTTTCCAGAATCTAACCTTTATGATACAGCACCCAGAGTTTGCAGCTCATGCTGGGTTGCTCTCGATCTGCTCTGCTTGTGGGCAGCTGTTCATCTTTTACACCATCAGCCAGTTTGGGGCTGCTGTCTTCACCATCATTATGACTCTACGGCAAGCCTTTGCCATCTTGCTGTCCTGCCTCATCTACGGTCACTCGGTCACGGTGGTGGGTGCTCTGGGACTAGCCACGGTCTTTCTCTCACTCTTCCTGCGGGTCTACGCCAGGAGCCGGATGAAGAGTAAGAAAAGGGCAGCCCAGTCCCAGGCGCCAGTGCAGAAGGTGTGAGGCAGAACCCCTCAGCTGGCGGCTTTTATACAGACAGTCGGACGGTGTGTCAGGGAGCGCATTTTTATAAATAAAAAGGTGATTTGAAGTGAGGACATTGCAATGGAGGCGCTCCGTTGGAATTCTGAATACGACCGTCCTGGCTCACCATTGTGAAGAGTGACCGGGATCCGAGCTGTGTTCATGTTCCACTCACCACCCTCCACTGTCAGCCAGAACCCCCCCCCCCCCCCCAGCCCTGACCGAGAACCCCCCCCCAGCCCTGACTGAGACCACCCCCACCCTCACAGTGACCGAGACTCCCCACACCGTGCTAACTGAGATCCCTCCCCACCCAGTCCATTGTTAGTCATTTGCCACCCTGTGGGCCCCCCCACCCTTTAACACCATGAATTTCCTGCTCCCTAATTTACATCTCTCTGTGACTCCATCACTTTCGTTGGAAGCAAATTTCCTGGAGTTTGTGGAGAGGATTCATTTTCAGCTCCCTCCTGCATGGGTGCCTCTGGTTTGAAGTGGGACAGGAATCTGCATAATGACTCTCTCAGCATCCTTCAAATTTTGATACGCCTCAATCAAATCCGACCTTTTCTCTTTCCCCAAAATTATCTGATCAAAATATTGGTCTAACTCTTGCAGCCCTGGCAACATTAAAAAAAACCCACATTTTCTGAAGTCAGTCAATATTCCCGAAGGTATGGTACCCCGAACTGTAAGCACTGCTCCAAATGGGCACAAACTAGTACTTTGTATTGCTTAGATCCTCTTGTTTATATTTCCAGACTTCTGGTTCGAATGCTAACATCCTCCTCGTCTTGTTAATTTTTTAAATATACTTGACGACATCTCAGTGATCTGTATATGTGGGTGTCTAAGTCTGTTCAGACATCCACCGCTCTAGTTATTGGAGTGTTACTGTCCTGGATATGAGGAGGATGAGTATACTGACGGTTTGACTTTTGGTTGGGTGTATACAGAGCAGGACAGATACTGAGTGTTCTGCTGTGTATACACAGAGTAGACAGATACTGAGTGTTCTGTTGTGTATACACAGAGTAGACAGATACTGACTGTTCTGTTGTGTATACACAGAGTAGACAGATACTGACTGTTCTGTTGTGTATACACAGAGGGACAGATACTAGGTGTTCTGTTGTGTACAGTGAAGAATGAGTTGGAATCATTGTTCAATAAAATATTATGAAATGTTTTATCTCATCTTTTACAATTCCTTGTGACAATGATCATGGCATCCTCAGTGTTTGAAAAGAGCTTACAAAACTGGAATGGTTATTACGGAACAAAAACAAAGTTGCTGGAAAAGCTGGAAAAGAACACCTGGGTTCTGAGGAAGGGTCACTGGACCTGAAACGTTAACTCTGTTTTGTCCTTCACAGATGCTGCCAGACCTGCTGAGCTTTTCCAGTAACTTTGTTTTTGTTCCTGATTTACAGCATCCGCAGTTCTTTTGGTTTTTATTTGGTTATTATGGGAGGCCATTTGGATCATTTTGTCTGTGCCAATAACTAATTCTATAATTAATAATCAACCTTGACCCAGCTCTTTTTAATAATATTGAACAATAGAAGCACCAAGGGTTGTCAGACAATCTTTTCATTGTCTCTGGTCTAGTGTAACCTTCCACAATATTTTTTAAGCAGTGATTGCGATCTTTATAGACCTCCCAACACTTGAGCATCCTTGCTGAGATCATTTAGCAGGAGCATTGTTATAAACAAGGTTCTGCTCTGCTGGAAGAGTTGCTGAAAATGTCCAGCTACCAGCCTGTCTGAGTCCATTTATTATTGCAGTAGTTACAAGGGCCACATGCTGCAGTTCAACTGAAGCTAAACCACTGAGACCATTATTGTGTCTGGTGGAAGTAACATTGACACAATGTGGGAACGGATAATAGGGCACTATTTCATTACTCTTAACCACAGCACTGACCCTGAAACCATCTGCCAGCATAGATCTCTGGAGAGAAAGCAGAGTTAACGTTTTAGAACTGTTCTAAAGAAGGAGCACTGCACCCAAAGCATTAACTCTTATTTTTCTCTCTCTGCAGATGCTGCCAGACCTGCTGAGTTTCTCCAGCGATTTCCAGCATCTGCAGTTCTTTATTGTATTATCCCAGAAACTGTCAGTCAGTTCATAAAAACACTCCTGGGTGCTTCAGCCAAATGCGCACACATTGTTTTATCCTCCGCTTGAACCCACTTGGCCTTTCTCTTGCTCTCATCCTGATTTTCTCCTGTTTCCATCACTCTTCCCTTTTACCACTTCGTGTGTGTTTGTCTCTCTCCTCTTTCTCTCATTTACTTGACATCAGTGCTGCCCTTGACTGAATGTGGTATCAAGGAGTCCAAGCAAAGCCGGAATCTTTGGGAATTGGAAAAGTCTCTGCACCACCCCCTGTAAATTCCCTTCCAAGCCACTCCCCATCCTGACTTGGAAATATATCGCCGTTCCTTCAGTGTTGCTGGGTCAAAATCCTGGAATTCCCTCCCTAAGGACATTGTGGGTCAACCTACAGCACATGGACTGCAGCGGTTCAAGAAGGCAGCTCACCCCCACCTTCTCAAGGGGCAACTAGGGATGGGGCAATAAATGCTGGGATGGTCAGAGGCGCTCACATTACGTGAATGAATGAACGAACAGAACTCTGCCTTGATCACACTCTCCTGCTCTGTCTTCCCCTCCCATTTCACTCTGTCCTTCTGTTTCTAAACGCCCCCCCCACCCCCTCCTATATCCGTGCTTGTTGTTCTGTTCTCTCACCCTCGCTCCTGTTGTTCTCTGTGGTTTATTTTTCTGTCTCCTCTTTCACTATCACTCCTGTACTGTGAGTCATTGAAGCAGAAAAAGGCACTGATTGAAACAGGATCAGGAGTCGGCCATTCAGCCCCTTGGGCCTGTTCTGCCATTCAATGAGATCATGGTTGACCTGTGGTCTAACTCCATATACCTGCCTTAGGCCCATAACCCTTAGGTTCTTTTTTAAGAAAAGGTATTATCGCCTGTTTAAAATTAACAACTGATCCAACATCCACTGCCCTCTGTGGAAGAGAGTTCCAAACCCTGACCACTGTATGTAGAAATGCTTTTGCAAGCATTTCTCCTGAATGGTCTGGCCCTAATACTGAGACCGTGACCCTAGTTTCAAAAACCCCAACCAGTGGGGTTGAACAGTTTTCTGAAGAAGGGTCTAGGCCTGAAACGTCAGCCTTCCTGCTCCTCTGATGCTGCTTGGCCTGCTGTGTTCATCCAGCTTTACACCTTGTTAACCCAGTGGGAATAGTTGTATCTTTTTCTGCTCGAGCCTGGGGCCTGATAGTCTCAAGTTGCACCATTACCACCCTCCTGATAAAGGTGAGAGCTGTGGGATCCCAGTGCGATTCACTGAGGTCTGACTCTATGTCAGAGACTGCCTGTGACCAACAGAGTGCACAACTGAGACCATAGGTTCATGTTTAATGTGACTGACAGCAAAATCACAGGAGACATTTGCTGTTTGTGTGAGTGGATGAGATTTGGAATGCATGCCCTTAGAGACTGCTGGATACTGGGTCAATAAGAGCTCTGAGAGGAGGATTGGATATCCAGAATGGTGGGGTGGGAGTAAATCAAAAGACCTAGTATGTATGTGATGGGCTGAATGGCTTCTTGCTACTTTACTGTGTTTATTCATGATGCACTGCCTGATGTTGGGCTGTAATCAGAGATGTGTGAAGCTGTAATATTAGCTGCTACCTTCATAATTAGTCAGATAGTGTCAGTTGTTTTTACAGATTGATCTTGACCATATAAAAAAGTCTCTGTGTAAAGCTCACAACGATGCATGTTGTTGGGTTGGGGAGTCAAAGAGGAAATTCAAGGAAGGGACCTTAGAGCGATTCAGAGAAGCTAAACCCAGTGGTTTTACTGAAGCAGCCTATTTATACTGCAGCCCAGGGACACAGCACAGAGAACAGTAACCATCGCTCAGCCTGTCAGGAACTGTGAGGCTGTTCTGAGCAGGTGAACCACAAAATAAACTATTGTGCAGAAAACCAGGGCATTTCACGTTGAGGAGAAAAGCGTTTTCAGGATATTCTGAGAATAGAGAGCTCTCTCTTCCTGAAGCAATGAGAGTACTGAGGTAGCACTGTGAGGAACAGTGGAGCAGCAGTTCCTTGGGCTGACTCAGTATCCAATCATCACAGCAGTCCCAGAACTTTCTGCTTCCTGAGGACGTGGCTGTTGCCAAATTTCCTATTACCAATGTCAGTATCAACAAGGAGCACAGCGTAGGGTTCCACACATTACACTCCACTCATTTAAACTGAAGGTAAAGCTCCCACTACACATCCCCATCAAACACTCCCACCAGGACAGGGACAGCATGGGGTTAGATAAACAGAGTAAAGCTCTCTCTACACTGTCACCCCCCATTAAACACTCCTAGCATGGGGTTAGACACAGAATAAAGCTCTCTCTACACTGTCCCCCCATCAAATACTCCCAGGGCAGGGACAGCACAGGGTTAGATACAGAGTAAAGCTCCCACTACACTGTTCCCCCCATCAAACACTCCCAGGGCAGGGACAGCATGGGGTTAGATACAGAGTAAAGCTCCCACTACCCTGCCCCCAGTCAAACACTCCCAGGACAGGGACAGCGCTGAGTTGAATTCAGAGGAATTCCAGAATTCTTTGAACATAGATTAAGATTCCAGTCTCTAAGGTTTTAGAGTAGATTTGTAGCTCGGGTTGTGGATGTTGAGGTTGGTTGGCTCGCCGGATGGTTCGTTGTTTCACAGCCGTTTCATTATCATGCTGGGTAACATGATCAGTGCAGCCTCTGATGAAGCGTCGGTGTGTTTTCCCATCTGTTATTTAAACTCTGGAGTCCATTGGGCTGGATTACCTCACTTCCGGTTTTCCTTCGTAGTGGAGTGTACATGGGGTCTAGCTCTATGTGTTTGTTGATGGCTTTCTTCATGGAGTACCAGGCATCTAGGAATTCCCGTGCTTGTCTCTGCTTGGACTGTCCCAGGATCTTGGTGTTGTCCCAGGCAAATTGGTGGTTCTCCTTATCCATGTGGATGGAGATGAGTGAGTATTGGTCATGTCTTTTTGTTGCCAGTTGGTGTTCGTGTACCCTTGTTGTTAATTTCCTTCCTGTTTGTCCGATGTAGTGTTTCTCACAGTCCCTGCAGGGGATCTTGTATATGACACTGGTCCTGTCCATGGCGGGGAGTGGGGTCTTTGGTTTGGGTGAGCAGTTGGCGTTGGGGTGATGTGGGCTTGTGTGCTACTCTGATGCTCAGTGGTCGTAGGTGTCTTGCGGTCAGTTCAACGTGTTCCTGATGGAAGGTAGCGTGATGAGTGTGTCAGGGTGTGCAGTATCTTCCTGGTGTCCTTCATGTAATAGGCACCTTCTGACCCAGTTTTTTGGGTATCCATTGTCTCTGAATACCTGGAAGAAGTACTCCTCTTCTTCCTGGCGTAGCTCTGTGCTGCTGCCTGTTTAAATAATGTTCTCATGCAGCTTCATTTGTGGGTGTTAGGGTGGTTGCTGTCGAAATTCAGTACTTGGTCAGTGTGTGTACCTTTCCTGCGTACCTTTGTTAGGAATTCCCCATTGGTCCTGCATTCCACCATGATGTCCAGGAATGGGAGCGGTTTGTTCTTTTCCTCCTCCTCTGGTGAATCTGAATCCGGTGAGGGTGTGGTTTATCAGTTTGTGTGTCTCCTCTAGTTTGGTCTGTTTAATAATGCCGAAGGTGTCATCCACGGAGCGTATCCATAGTTTTGGTTGGATTAGCGGAAGGGCCGTACTTTCCAGTCTCTGTATCACCGCTTCAGCAATGAGTCCGGAGATAGGTGATCCCATGGGTGACCCGTTGATCTGTTCATATATTTGGCCATTAAAGGTGAAGTGGGTGGTGAGGCAAAGGTCCAGTAGCTTCAGCATGTTATCTGTGGAGATGGTGTTACTGGGGTCTTGTTCTTGTTTTAATAGTGTTGCCGGTGTTTCTCTTGCTAGTGGTATGTCTATCAATTTGAATAGGGCAGTGACGTTAAATGATACCATGGTCTCGTTGTCATCTATTCTTGTGTCCTTGATGGAATTGAAGGACTCCTGGGCTGAGTGGATGGAGTGGGGTGACTTGCTGACGAGGTGCTTTAGTCTCCTTCGTAACTCCTTGGCTAATCTGTGTGATGGTGT